TCTTGTGTGGCCACATTTATGTGTACTGTGTAGTATAACTATTTACTCAAAAATCCTCTAGTGGCCTCGCACGTGTGAAATCTGATGCGGGCGTGCCACTTACTTTACTGAAAGTAAGAAATGAGGACTTTCTCAACGACCCTCTCCTTCCTCACGGTCGACCTCTTCACAGATGGCGGGAAGAACGTTGGATTAAAATGAAATTTGCGCCTTCAGACGATTTGCAAGAGGGAGGGATACCTTCCTGCAGAATAGGTTACGAAATCTGCCTTGGACAACTCCAAAGACTTAAACACTACCGTGGCTTACAATTAACAAATCCTAATTATTCTAAATTACTTGCAATTTAAAATAAACTTTACGAGAAAGAAATGTTCCCAAATTAAATTAAACATGCTTATGGTAAAATTAAAAGTGCAATCTATTGACAGATTCAGAAATTAAACTGCTACAGATCTGGAAACTTAAACCTAATTTGCACTGAAATTAAATGTGAACAGTGAATAAATAGCGTGAACAGTGAATAAATTGAAGAAACTTGAAATTAGAAAGAAGCATGAAGGCCACGTAAATAATCATTGAAGCAATGCTACTTAACATAAACATTAAATTAATTTCAAATGAAAAGAAAACAATACCTTGCATAAACTTGAAGGATTGAAGTTCATTGCATGAAGGAAAATTGTTTTAACTGAATATAGGAATAAATTTGTCTACTAGAATGAGGAAAAACAATCTAATTCTAATAGAATCTGTGCTGAAATACGAAATCTGTGCTGAAAAACCGAAATCTGGAAGCATGTGCAGAGAAAATCAAAGTATGAAAAGTTGCAGTTGTTTGAGTAGGGCTGGCCGTGTGTTCCTCTTTGTGCCGAAGTTCCCTTTTTGTTCCTCTTTGTGCCGGCAGTTACTCAATCATAGGTAGTTTGTTGGAGTAGTGGGACACCTCACCTTTTGACCTAGTCTAATCCCCTTTTAGATTTTACCACCTGGACTCTATCAGATAAAATCCTCTTTTTAAATGTGATCCTCCCCTATCTTGCCAACTGCCATTATCTCTTTCTGTTTCAAAAGATAATTACTCTATAAAACATTATCTTTACCTCTCTTATCTTGCCAACTCACGTGCTGATCTGTCATGGGACCCAGGATCCGAATCTGACATGGCTCAAAACTCCTTCAGCCAATAAAAATTTTACACGTGGCATTAATTTAAAATTTTGCAATTTATGGTGTAAACAATAACCATGACCATATTTGTGGGGCATCAACAAAGAGTAACTATGTAACGAATAGATGGCTAGAGACAAGGAGAACCACCAATACAGCTTATGGTTAAAAACCTCACACTTGCAGCAGTGTCAACAAAAAAATATGAAAGAAAATATATAACATGGTTAATATTCTAAAGTAGAAGCACCAAGTTGGAACTGGTTTAACATTATAGAATTCTATTAGATCAATGTCGAATTTTACAGAGAGTCTAAATCAGAATTTAAACATTCTGCAAAATGCAGGCCCCGTGCCTGCCCAATCTAGCAACTATCAAGAACATTCAATGATATATCATAATGTAGGGGGATAACCCAGATCTTGGACTTGTCCTACCCCCTGCTTGCACATTTAGCCCTCATCTTGGAAGACCCAGTTTTTGTTCATACAGCTTCAACAGCTCAGAAGCTTTCTTCTCTTCATGGCAGTTCACAAACTTTTGAAGGAATGATTCCTCCGTAGTATAAAACAATGTTTGCAAGCTAAAGTTCTTAACCAAACCCTTAGACATAAGATGTTGAGCAAACAAACCCCTCGGAATAATTCTCTTCTCCAGGCTCAATTTAAGAACAACCGGGGCTTTGGCAACAACCGAAGGTTGGATACCCATTTTGTTCACAAGAAAATCCATGACAGCAATAATCTTTTCTGCAGAGCTAAACATGCAAGTTGGATCCAATTTAAAGGCTTTCAAAACGTCTTCCTCAGTCCAACCCAACTTCTTATAAATTTCGACCTTCCACTCCCATTTTGATCTAGAAAGAGACCTTAATACACGAATTGCCGAAACAAAATTCAGTGTTGAAGGATGAAACCCCATTTTCTGTACTTGATCAATAATCTCCTTGAAGGCACCCTGATCCATCCAGAATGTCCTTGGATGCAGCCTAAAAATGTTAACAATATGCGATTCACGCACTCCAATTTCCCTCAGAGTGTTAATGTTGGGTAGCAGTTCATCTTCAAGCTGCATTGTGAGAATTCGCGGAAAGCGTTTTATAGCTTTGAAAGCACTCTCATCAGGCAATGAAAGGTTATTACTGAAAATATTAAAAGAAGGAATGATGTGATTCTCCAAGCTTCTTGCCAAAAGATGTGGGTTTAGGGACAAGATTGTGGCAAGGTCAGAGCTTGAAAAACCTCTAGAGCGAAGAAACTCAACTTTGGGCAAAAGGGTTTTCTCAGTATCGAAAACCAGAAGCTCGGGCCTCTTCTTGATGATGCTTGCAATCTGGGTTTTCGAGATCCCAAGGTTCTTGAAGAAAGCAATGACAGAATCGGGTTTATCAGGGGTCTCAAATAGGATACCCTTGGAAGCCAATGTAGCAGAAGCCAGGGAAGCAGATTCCGGTGAGAACCCACAAGCGTTGATGAGATACGATAGCGTAAAGGAATTCTGATTCGAAGTGGTTGAGACGAATCTGAGAGATAACTTTGATGGGTAGCTTCGGAGAATGCAGAAACGTCTGAAAAATGGCGAGGCTGCCATACTCGGCCTCCCATGGAGAGCAGTCTTGCAGAGAAGATATATCATGGGAATCGAAATCAATGTAATAACTAATGATAGAACAAACTCACCTCCTTTTGAAAGCAATCTGTTCCGTCGTCGCAGATGACCGGATTTGAATTCCCGCCGGACCTAATTTCTCTGCAACGAAGGGTCCCCTTGTCCAGTACAGTAAACCTGAGGGTTTCCTTTCCCTGTCATTTCGTCAATTGGATAGTTTCCAGCCGTACGCGTGGCAGCGATTATTTATTGCAACTCAAAATGAACTTAGTATACTAACTAGGACTGGATAAAGTGATAAGCGGTTTGTTCCAACTTAAATAAGATCTCGAGTTCGAGTATTTACGTATGCAGCAACCTTCGTAACTCACCCACCATTTTCAGGTGCGCGACCCAGATCGGATCCGGATTAGTTAGGGCGAAATCCTAAATACCTGGCGGGAAACCCAAAAAAAAAAAACTTAGTCCTTTATAATTTGGGAAATGTACAATTAACACCCTATAGTATAAAAAATTGCAATTCACCCTTATTTTTTACTACTAGGTTAAGCTATGCCACCATGAACTAACAAAAATGTTAATTTCTTATACTCAAATTGATTTAATTAAAATTTGTATATACTTTAATAATTATATAGACATACAACTCTTTTGATATAATTTAAAAATAAACATAACATTAGAAAATAATTTCGACTGAATTAATATAATTTTTTAATGTTAATCGAGCATACACTGCATGTTATTGCCGATTGGACTTTTCATCAACCCTCTTTGAAATGCTGGTTGCTGGTGACTCCAAAGAGACAAAGTGTGAAATTTTTTGGGGGCAATTTGCATTTTGTCTGCCTAGGAGAGGGAGGATGAGGCATTATTTCAGCACATAACTAGCACCATAACCGAAAGCAGAACATATTGGCTTACTATAAACTAAGAAAAAGAGCATATAATGACAATGACAATGGTATCATTATTTTACAATTGAGGGAAAACAATTCCAAGACTCAGGGCCGTGGAAGCTTTTCAGATTTTACAAAAATTTGAGGAATGAAAAAAGAAGGCTTATATAGGTACCAGAGCGAGTATCTGGTTCCTTATAATTCCGATACATTTTTGTATCTCTGCATAAATTGGAAGGTTTTGTGAACAACATGGCTGCAAACTGGTAACTGCAGAATCGAGTACCTGGGCAACGTCACCAGGCGGGAACTGCCTTTCTGTACATTTCTGCAATTTGTTGTGAGAAAATAATCAGAATCAGGCACTGTGACCAACTTAACCACACATATCATACCAGCTATTCAATACCCTTGCAACAAAAAGAGTTCTACTAAGATCATCTTTCAATTACTCAAATATCTCAGGACAAAAGAAAAAACCCTCGAATAGACAGCCATTAAATAGGAAGCAATATTCTTGAACTTGGTTGGAAGCAATCTTTCTGCATTAAAATCATTAATGTTTTCATAGAGATTCAATATTTGGTATTCTTATGCATATAAGGTGTCAAGCATTCAAGGGTAGAATTCCTAGTCAAACAACTTTCTTTTCATTCTTCTCAATGATTTAGCTGCAGATCTTAAATTTCAGAAGAGATTGAAATCAAGAGATTCTGTTAATGGGGGTCAATAAGATACTAGGCAACTAGCCTTCTTCCACATCACAGATATGATATAACCACTCTAAACTGTGATTAATGACGTTCTCAGAGTTTATCTTTTCCTCTTAACTCTATGGATAGTTGGATTTGAAGACCTACACTGACATACAAAATATAAACATGGTTTAATCCTATCATAGTAGTGATGGATGAAATTGCAAGAGACAAGTGCTTTCTGGTTATTTGAGTTTTTATGAGTATTTCTTATTTCTTATTTCTTATTATCCACAACATAAATCTTGTAGTAAAAAGGAAAATGACAAGTATATCCAGATTTACCTGAATCATGAGCAAGGTAGCCACGCAACGTGCAATAAGATCTGAAGGAATTTGTGCTTCATCTTGGTCAGACAATTCATCCAACTTAATATCAGGTGCTTGGCTAGTTTCCAAGGGATTTGATGCACGTACAGTAAGATGACCCTGAGAAGCCAGAGTACTATTAACTGAAGATCCTACTGCAGCTATGCTTGAATCCACTGGAATCTGATTATTTACAAAATCTATAGCATCCTCAATCATCTCAATGCATTTCCCCGCTTTTCGTAAGGATGAAATTGCCTGAGAGAGTTATCTAGTCAGAACAAGATGACCATTTTGAAGTAGCCATGAAGTCACTAATGTGGTTCCGTAACATGATACAAGAGCAATTCAATTTAAAGAGCACACCATGACCATCTACAGCAAAAAAAAACCATTTCCAACCTAAGCACAGAAACATGCAGCACCAACAAACAAATTAACTTACCAAAGTGAATATTCCAATAACAAAAATGTCTAAAACTTTTATCTAGCTGAAATGAATAAATCCACCATCCCACAAATGGGATATAAACTCAACTACATAACTTCCAGCTATCCAGTCAACTTTAAGACACGTTAGGAAAGCCATAAAATTTTCACATTTTGATTACATAAGGGTGTTTCAAAGGGGCCAAAATAAGTGCTAGCTAGAAAAGGCAAGATTTCACAAGTATTTCTTCACCTGAATTGCTGCATAAACCATTGACTTGGCTTTTGTTCTTGAACTTTCAACAATTTCAGCTACATGGGATACAGGCTCTTGAGTGTGATATGCAGGATGATTGAAGGAGCCCAAGTGACCACCACGCTCATCAATATTAGCCAAATGCTTCAACCACAAATGTGAGGAGCTCCTGTGATAAGTGTTACGCTGCCTCAAGCATAACAGGGCAGAAGAAACCTGCATATGAAAGGCATGTGTATCATGGTCAGGATAAAATGGTAAAGATAAGGTAAAAGATTGAAACTGAAACTGCTATATTGGTATATCCTGCCTGCTCATTGATTTCATTTAACTGTAAGAGGACAGCAGCATATTGCTTCTTAAAAGAATCTGAATCCTTGAGACAGTTGTTTCCACCCTTTTGGTTTTCCAATACCTCATCATTCATGCGCTGAAGTTCAGACACCACAGCCTCCTGCAAACATTAACATTGATTAGCTCCCTTTTAGGATACTGATATGATGACAAGAATTGACAGCATTTTGTATTACTCTCAATTAAACAGAATTAACTTCTGAAATCTAGAAATAAGCTAAACTAAAGTCTTAGAATATGAAACTCTGCAACCAATCAAATAATACTAGTGTTGAAGATTGCCGAAAATCTTCCAGTAGAGGAATAGATTAGAAAGCAAATTAAAAAAAAAAAAAAAAAAAACAAATCATGATTAGAAAGCAAACCCTTTAACACAGCTAAGTAAATAAATTTATTTGTGGAGAGAGAGAGAGAACAGAATTATCTTGCGTATTCAACAATAAGTATACTTAGCAAAACAAGGTGACTTTTGTTACTTAAAGACACTTTAAGTTCAATTCAAGATAAGCTAAAATGCAGTATGACCTTTTTATCAAGAGCGCGAGTCAATTCAGAAAGCGCTTGAACATCTGCTTCCCTTGCCTGCGTCTGAACCAGAACAGAAGGCTGAAAATTTGCCACTTGTTGAGTATAAGCAGTTTCACCAGACCCAACTTTAGGCTGTAAATTAGGACTTAGTGAATCAACCTGCCAAAGCAATTTACTCTTAGAAAAAATACACCATATTGGCCTCCAGATGAATCATATTTCACACTTTAGCTACAGCTGTGAAATTCAAGGGTGTAAATTTCAGGGGCAGCAACCAGAATGAGAGAAACTAGTGCCGTTTCTTTATTTTTACATGTCTTGTTCTACAGGGTGATGAGCATTATTTTAACCTTTCCCATCTGGTATGAATAAGGATCTCATTCAAGTAGAGCAGAAAATTGAATAAGGTTACGTTCATTGGTCATTGACTATTGATCCAACAAGGGAGTGGTGTAGGCATATGAAATTCCTATAGCAAGGACCTTTGAAATCTAGAGAGATTAAACTTCCCTACAAGTTTAATCATCCAATAAGGTCAATTCCTCTTATAGTGATAAACACAACAGGAAAAAACATAGGAACCTGGGAAAATCTGCAAAGCAATATACAAACAGAAATGTTTCAGTATCCAACAAAGGCAAATAGAAGGTTGGCCTTTTTCTTAGGAAGTTGAGAACACAAAAATATTCTCTCCAACTCAAATGATTCTGGTGTGTAATTACTTGATTTCATTCTTTGAATTGATGCAATTTAATCATAAAGCAAAATTTATTATTCAGTCATAACTGACCTTTGCTTGCTGTGATAGCTTGCTGACATGATTAGTTGATGGGGATATATGAGAGGGACTATTGGTGCTTTCCAGGTTCTGATAGAGAGAAAATTTGATATTCTCTTCTACCTTCCTGTCTTTTCCTATCCCATTCACTTTGAGCTCATTGAAGTTTTCAATAAATTTACTGAAAGCAACATTTTGCCTTGCAAGAGATGCTGGCATATTTTCCAGTGGATTTAATGGCATGCAATCAGTATCCTGCAAAAAAAAAAGTAATATTCATAAAGAGTGAAAGGAAGGAACAAAATGGAAAAGTAAATAGATAAGGTGGCATGCATATACTCCAATAAAAACATATAAAAGCATGTTGTTGTGCCTGTACATGCTCATTCATTCTAAAAAAGAAATGGAATTTCATCCAAATACTCATGTTATAAGTTGGCAGAGCAGATTTCACGGACTGGGGGACTGGGTAGAAAATTTTTAAGGACGAGAAAATTATTTATAAAAAAATGGAATACATCCAAATATAATAGCACTCAACATCAGCACAATTGGACTAATAGACTTAAGGACAAGAAAAATTTTTAAATTAGCTGGGGGACTTGCAGAACCATCTAGATAAGGTAAAGATGAGAAACAAAACAAATATGTCTATCAGTAATTAACCGTCCACAGATCATACTCTCCGCAAAGACAGGCAAAACTACTTTCCATTGCTAGTTATTTCACATGAAATACAATGAATGCCACATCTTTCAATTAAATTATGAATATTTAAAGGCCCGTTTCTAGTGCAATGCATAAAAAATAAAAAGTTTACCATGACCAATTCCACCCTTAATTCAGGTCGGTCAAACTGAATCCTGTAACTACTATGATCAACAGTTAGCACACAACCATCATGAATCTCTCTGGTTTCTGGGTGAACAGCAAAAACACGTTGCCCAACCGATAAAGGTTGGGCTAAATCAGTTGGAAGTCCTTCCCTGACACCAGAATGAAGTTCTGCATAGTGATTTCTAACAGATTCTCGGTATTGATTAAGCTTCTCTCTTTCTTCCTTCAAAAATTGCTTAGAAAACCGTCTTGGTTTGCCTAGGGAACTGCATTGACAAGAAAGAATATATAAAAGTTCTACCAACCAACTTTAATTGAGTTCTAAACAAAAAGTTGAAAGATCTACCTCCGTATGACACCCCACTCCACACGAGTTAATCTTGGAACATGAGCCAATCCAACATGATCCAAATACTCCACGAACTCCCTTTTAGCAAACCATGGAAAATCAATTGCACTATAGAACCACTCAAAACCACACCATTTTCGTGCTTGATATGATGATAACAGGTTGGAAAGCTTTTCCTGTTTTTATAAATATACACAAATGAAAGACAATCTAAGATGTAGAAGATGGAAATGTTAAAAGGTACAAATGTTGGACCTTAAGATTGACTGATTTTTCACGGAGTGAAGGAATTGGAACATTAGATTTTCCATTCAAAATATCCTCAGACTTTATATTCTTCTCTGTCACCAGTTTCTGTGCATCCGTCTTACGCTTACTCCTGATTTTAGTGGGTAAGTTGACCTGTTTTATGGGTACCTCTATGGTTGATGGAGCTGACTCATTCATTTCCCTTCTTTGATCAGTACTCAAGTTAGCACGTTCTGGAGGTCTAACAAATTTCCCCTGTTTTGGGTGTGCAGCACTATGAGATCGTTTACCTTTGCTAACTAGCTTCTTCACCTCATCCATAACCTATAATTTTGATAGAGATTAACAACATCAAGAACCAGCAATTGATCAAGGAATAAAGAATGGCCAAAGAGAGTAGAAACTCATAAATTTTCCAGAGTAACAACAATAGGCACATTTTTGTAGTCATCTGATTTTTGTGGATGGCTGAGATTTTGAATTTTGTTCTTACAAATGCGCCTATCATAATTTCCCAAGATACCAAGTGAATTTTATATCCTGTTCTTAATGGGAAAACATCACCACCCAATCCAAGGGCAATTCATAAGATTCAATACCTGAGTCACAGACTCCAGTATGGTAGACCTAGACATTGTAAGTATTAAAGATTGAAAAAAAGTTCATGTTTACAAGCTATGTCAAAGAAAATATATATATTGTGAGAGTATCTGTATAATTTCATCAAATGGATATTGCAACAAGATGCAGTTTCCCTCCAAAATGAAGTCATCTTTTACAATAATTATTAATAAATCTAAAAGGACTCCACTCACTTAAGGACTGAAAAAGCGAAAAGAATCACAAACCTTAACCTTTGGAGATCCAGCCAAATGAGAACCAGAATGTGTTTCGTCTTCAGGAATCTGCAATAGGCAATTCAAATATGGTCATCTCTGCAATGTATGTTCAACCACATGAATTAAATAGAACGTTGCCAGTAAGGAAACAAGCACACCAGTATCAATTAATTAGTTTTTTTGTGGAAAATCATGGGTATCTGGACCTTTGGGCCCTCTAGTCCCATGAGCACTTGCAAATAGCTCTGTCAGTAACGAAACAAGCAAACTAGTATATGAATTAAAGTTAACTCTTACTTTAAATAGTGAACCTTTTCGTCTCCTTTTACGCATTCCAACATTGATTCGATGAGTTTCTTCCTTAGTTTCAGGAACAGCTTTAACATCATGATCAAATAGAATTCCTTGTTTAGATGTTTTCACAGCAGTGGCTTTAGCTCCAGCAATAGAATGCTTCCCTTTGACATTAATCTTATCAACTACAGCTTTTTCATCTTTGAAATGCACAGATGACTCTGATGCAATGGCATCAACCAAGTACCAGTAAAAATTGGGAGAATGTAAGCTAATGACAAGTAATTAAAGTCATGTATAAAATAAAATCAGAATGAGAATACCAGAAATCTGCCTAAACTACTGGTTAACAAAGATCATAAAGGCTGTATAAAAAGTAATAAGATGAGTATACAATCAGCATTAACAGAAGCATGAAAAATTAATCAGAAACAAGGCTAAGAATGTAATAAAATGAAATTTCAAGAAACACATGTTATAGCACAGGGCAGGCTTATTGTTAAACCTATTCTAGAAAATTGGAGCCATTCTAAGTCTATTTAGGGTTCAGATTTATAAGAAAAGACACCATAAATAAGTAAAAACTAATTGTGCAAAGGGAGATAAGAAAAAAGTAAACAGAAAAAGAAAATTCATAGAGAAAAAGTAAGCAGTATGGCATGTATAATATGAGAAGGAAAAAGTGAGCAGTACTAAATCTACCAGAACTGCAACATTTGATAAGTGTTATTAAAATTAGATCAGCAACAATAATGGAGGATATAACCCTGTCATTCTGTTAAGCGGATAATATTTTAAATATGATCCAAAAGAACAGTTGCCATTAACTTTCCTTAGATTTCTATAAGAGATTATAGGTTGGTGGTCATTACTTGCTTTAAATTGGATCTATATGTAATAATCCAACGCAAAAATTGGCAAAATGAAGGTGGTGATCACGCTTGATTCTAAAAAGGTTTAAATATGTAAATTTTAGGTATGGTTCAGAAATTAGCAAACAGATGCTGACACGTTCATTCGGAAGAATAATGAATTGGGTCTTGTTTCTGGATCATGACGCTGTCACTCAAAGTGAGCTTCTTGGCACTACATAAGAAGGGTAGAAAAAATATATTTGAGACACTAGCTGTAAGTATACCTCCTATTACCTTAGAAACCAAAAAACAAATGAGGTGGCAAGTAAGATCCACCTCATGTGACGGTCCTACAACAATACCAACACAACAGTTTATGTGAATTGTTTGATATTATCTCACCATTGTCAGCTGTTGTTTCAGGCATCATCAAGGACAGATCTGCAAGAGTTTGCAGGGCATCAAAGGAGGTATCTTCATCTGCAATTAAAAGAAAATTAAAACACAAGACATTCACATAGTTCTGGAGATTGAAGAACAGAGATAGGTTAAAATCAAAGCTCACTGAAACAATTTACAAAATAAAGAAATACGTAAATTTTCTTTTAGACTCTCATGGCTGATTAACATTTCATTATGATTCTGAACACTGAGGATTTAGAAAAATAAATAAATCTTGCTTCATCATTCCTTCTCTGTTTCTCTCTTTCTTCTTTCTGTGCTTTCCGTCTTTCAAAATTGGAAAATATTTACTTAAACATGTTCTGGAGAGATTTTTTTATTTCTTTTTACAGAAAATGCATTCGATCTCCAATAAAAAATGAAGTAGAGTGATCATTATAAAAATATAGTAAGGTATCTCCGCATACAGAACACCAAAAGAAATAATATCCTTCAAGAACAATAATCAGAGTAAGAAGAAAGAGGGACGGCAGAGTAAGGGCCAGCAGACTTAGCTTCTATGGGAAAACCAGCCTACCTCGTCCAAACAGCATTTTTTTGCTTCTCTTCCTAGTATCCCTACAAGCAGCTCGAGAAATTTTGATATCTGCAGCCTTCACTTCATATTTTTCCTTGAGATTTCCTAATTTATGTCCTTCTTCTGTCCCACTGCAGGCTTCTTTTGTTTCTTCAACATGCTTGTTTACACTTTCCTCAACTTCTTGCTTCCTTCCAAGATATCTCTTTCCTTTTTGTTGAACCTCAACTGTACCGGCAGCTTCTACATCCATTGCATAGTTTCTCAGCCCAGCGTAATCTCCATTATCAGCTTCTGTGCTTCCTAAGCTTAATTCACAACCATCCTCATCCATTTCACTACCATGAAGCTTGGCGCTAGTCAATTGTGATTCAGCATGCTGAATAACTCAATAACATAAATAAAAATAATTTCAATATTCTAAAAAAAATGGAGAAAAAATGCCATCAAATAAAAACAAATTACCATCCTTTCAACTTTCTCAACAGGTGAAGGTGTCTCTGTCTTTCCATTTGGTGTTCGAGAAACTTGGGGAGAACCACCTCTTTGTGAAGCTTTTGCCAATGCCAATGCTATCTCATGAGCAAAATCATCCTCAACAGCATCCACCTTCAGTCTAAAGCCTTGCCTAATTGGTGAAATGTACCTTTCCCCTTTATCTTTTTCATAAGAATATGATACAGGTATACGAGGAGTCCTTTTTCCAACAGCACGAGGCCTACTTCCTAACAAATGCCAAAAACTCTTACTGAAATCAACCCTTAATAAAAAAGAATTCAATAATATCAATGAAGCATGAAAGAAAAAGAAAAGAAAAAAATCAAAGTGAAAGATGGAAAAGGCATAAAGTTTTGATAACATTCTATATTTCTATCTTGAAACTTTGATCCCTAAGATGTGCTAGTGCAAGTAAATTTTGTGAAAACAAGGATAGAGATCATTTACCAGAGCGTTTCTTTTTCAACAATGGAAGGCAACCATAACTTGAAGCAGCTGAATGAAATTGCAAAAGATCTGGATATGACCCATCAGAACCTTTGGAGGGATGATCTTGAAATTTCCCCCTGCCACGCTTTTGAGGTCTTAGAGATGCTTCTGCACCTTCATTGCTTTCTTGTTCACTATCACTTCCTTCCTGCCAGTTCATAATCCATTAACTTTAGTTCTATAAAAGTGATCCCAAGAGTTGCACCCTTTAGATGTATCCAAGCTCAATTCAAAGAATCCAAAATAGCATGCACTGTATTACCACATTAATGCATTGGGATAAATAAAGACAGAGTGTACAACCAATTCAAAATTAGATTAAGCACTGTCATCAGCAATTTGAATGGTAACAGTTTAGCACAAAATGTTATTTTTCAGATTGGCAGCAAGAAAATGACTTGATGAAGTTATCCAAGTAACAACCACATTTAGCACCTTTACTACAGAGCTAAACTGTTTGTTTCATTGTATTCCCCTATTTCTCATAAAGCAACTGCAAATTAAATTAAACACTAACCAGAACAGAGTAGTGATCAGTCATCATAGCTATAAGACCAACAACAGAAGCAGTGCCCTCAGGCAGAGATAAGTAAGCCTGAAAATACAGCAGAGAAAATTATATTATTACTTTAGCATCCAAAACCCAGCCAAACAATATTCTTCCCTTATTTCACTACATATACAAGCTAATCATGCTTGATCACAATAAAACTCTTTACCCCTTTATTATTAGATATTAATGATATGACTTATATAGCTCTTTAGGAAATTACTGGTCTTACTAAGAAGGTATATAATTTCAGTCCCTTGGAGTCATAAAATTGCTTACTTTACATGGCATTTGGGAACATGGAACAATACACAGAATAGCACGTTCTCCAATTAGGAACATGAAGAAGGTAATGCAATTATGCAAGAAAGTAATACTGTTAACATGATAAAATAGAAATAAAATAGAAGCTTCAAAAATTAAAGAATCAAGATACATTACATAAACCATGCTTACCCTATTCATAGTGTAAAGTGCTTCTACCATTTCCACAGATCGATTATGGACTACAGCAGCTACCTAGAAACTCAAATGAGCAAAAATTCATAAGATGATAAGACAAGAACTTCCCAACTCCAATAGCCAAGTTGCAACATGCAAACAATTCATGTCAGTCATGTGAGTCACCTTAACTTAAAATCAGAGAAAGGTGCCATTGGGAGTATAACTGCACCATCATTACAAATTAAATACTAACCTTCTTCCAATCTTTCCCATACTTGCGGTATGCTTCATAGAAATATCCAAGTTCTTCCTTGGTCCATTGAGGCCCTAACATGTCAGACAGCTTCCTCTTCTAAATAGGACAAGCAAGGGTTATACAATTCAAAAATTAAATAAAAGAGCTTCCAAAACAAAGTTTATCTAAAGTTTCTATTATTTCTTGAAAAATCTGAATATGATATTAGGATTGAGCTGCAATAATTTGTTTTAAGTTCCCCTGAAGATAACTTGAAACATCATTGAGTAAATAGCAATTAGCATCCACTTATTTGTAATACAGATACAAAACTTAAATAAGGTATCTCACACACTGATTTTGACAATTGCTTCATGCTTTACAGAGAAAGATCAAAGTCAGGTAAAAGTTTGGGGAGATGATGGAAAAAAGGATTATTGGAAACTCATCTCAAATGTAAAAATCATAGAAATTAATACCTCCATTCTTTTTGAAGGCCCCATAATCTGAACTTAATATATTTCCTTTTTCGTGATCTAGCTAACAATTTAGGACTCATTTAGTACTTACTGCTGCTTTGATAAGTCATAATTGGCAGATTTGCAGCCATAAAGAGCAAGCCAATCACAACCTATTCTTCCTTCAGCCAAAAATCACAACCTATTCTTCCTTCAGCCAAAAAATCATAACCTATTCTTCCAATCAAATTATGACACCTCATAAATTTACAGTCTACTATTTAAACTGCAAACTTCACTGCTTTTCCATTTTTTCCGCTATTATCTGTTCTGTCAGAAAGTTATGCTGTCAACCACTTATCTCTCGTATCTAGAATTGTGAGGGAGATTAAAAAAAAAAAAAAAACCTATAACATAGCACCATCCTTCTTAAAGAGAAGTGCATTGTCCAAATCAGAAACACTATATGTGTCTTCTGATTTCACAACAGAATCCTGGTTAATATCCATCCAAGCTCCCTAGAAGAAGGCCATTTACCTTTTCCTTCTGATTTATTAATTCTAACGTTCTAGCATTCTCCAATCAACAAACTTTTAAATTGCAGACAACTTGTGTCTCGTTAATCTCAAGTATGCTCCTATTTCATAAGAACCTATTGTGTCTTAAGCCATCTTGTTCACTGAAATCAGAGAAACCTTTCCATTTATCTTCAGACTGCCATTTGGTATTGGTTTCAAATATTGTCAATTTACCATGCAACCAGGTGTCAAATAAAGGAATGCTGAGCTGAGGATGTCTACCAGCCCACCCAAGCATACAAAGACAAAATTGGAAGAGAGAAGAAATCAAATCTAGAATCAGCAATAAACACTCATTCCAGAAAACCACCATCCAATTAACATTCGCAGCATACCATGACGTAAGCATGCAAGATAAACCATACCCATATGACAAGCTTAGCACAAACGTTTCTACAAACACTTGCAACCTTAATTTCAATTATTTGAACAAACACCAGAAATATCATGAAAGCCCATTTTCTCAAATAGCATAACATCACCACTAAAGAATGAGAACTTACCCCACGCTGCCCCATTTTCTTTGTATTGTCTCCATCTTTATTGGAACCAACCTCCTGAATATAGGAAAACCGTTTATTCACACTTTTGGATTTTTTTGACGGAGCCATGAGTAATAGCCTCAATTATCTGAAACATATGGATCAAAGTAACATCAGGGAGTTGATAATAAATCAATAATCCCGGATGCAAAGAAAACCCAATGAAGATAAACAAGTATCGACCACCTTCACTCGCATTGGCTGAAAAACAGCTCAATTAATTTGGTTTAGCTTTAAAAAAAAAATGGAGCAAAATGTTTAAGCAACTGAAACAGAGAAAAGAACAGAGACAGGTGAAGTCATGACTACTGACCAAATCTTTGCAGCATGTAAGTGATGTTTACTCAGCGAAAAAACCAAAAACTGAAAAAACGAAAATTCAAAGTTCAACAGTGACCTGATAAAGAGAAGCTCACTCAATTGAGCCACTAAAACACAACAACACCACTCGATGTACTTCTCCAAAACTGAATTCGACGAATCCTTACTTCTCGAAACCTCATCGGAACGAGACCGGAGAAAAAAGAGCAGAAGCAAAGGAGACAATACACCGATCACCAATCAGATAGAAATGGTTTCCGGATATATAAGGATAAGAAGAGGAAGAAAGGCAGTCAGGCGAACGGCGAGTTGCCGGCGATGAGGATTCCGACTATGAATTCAGATTGTTCCCGGCAGATGAAGATGAAGATGAAGAAGACAGAGGAGACGGGAATTTGGGGACGTAACCGCGAAAACTTTAAAATAGAAGGAAAAATTTGAAAGGCAAAAATAAATGCTACCAGTAATTTTAATAGAGGTGAAAAAAATGGCGGTTTCATCCAGCCGTACGTTCCGCTAGGAAGTTTAATCTAAACCGTCAATATAATCCACGTATTGTAATAAAGAATACAAATAATAAAATTGAGCATTTTTTGCATTATAGAGTTAATTTTTAAAAAACTGTTGAAGTAGTTAGTAGGGTTTAGAAATGTCCTTAATAAAATTGTTCTTCATATTATTTCACCTCACCGAGGTGAATTTTAACATATTAAATTTTCATAATGCTATGTTATAGTGTATAGTGTATCTTGTGAGGGATGATAACATTAAAACCTTTAATAAGGGGGAGGAGGGTCTAATATTAGAGATTCTCTTTTTTTTAATGTTGTTATGTTATAATATGTTACAATGCGAATTATAATACGGTTTTTCTGTTAATTTTTAGTTAATAATTTTTTGGCACTTAAATTACTAAAATCTTCAATAAAATAATATGAAGAAAATTTTCATTAATAATGTTTAAGTAAAGTTACATCATTTTTTGTACAATACAAACTGAAAAAAACACATATTTGTTAATTATTTCTAAGACTTCAACGCATGCTATGATTTAATACACAACCAAAAGTAGTTTTCTCTTCTCAATAAGCCTTAGACTATAAAAGCTTAGCCAGCCACTAATTTCTCTTTTTTGGCTATAAAAATACTAACTTTAAAATCTTGTTTTGGGTGGTCAAAATTGATTTTAGTAGAAATGGGAAGGAAAACGAAATGTTGGCCTTGAACTTGTCCCTATGCCTTCAATTTTAGATGTAAAGACAAGGAAAATTAATGCCAACTACCTCGTGACATGGAGACTGGTGGAGAGTGGTGGCAGCCAGGCTTAGTTCAACGAGAGGAGTTCAGCTTCAAAATCGCATGCACCAAACAATTGTGAATAGAGAACACGTGATAGTTTTGTATCAGTTAGTAAATTTTCCTTATGTGTTTGTTTTATTAAAAATATTATAATTTTAAAAAAAATCTTTAAAAAGGGGTCTATAATCAATTGACCCCTGTATAACCGGATGTGGTCTCAAAATAAGAATTCATGTAGGCAGGTGCTTCTTCATGACTTCCCCCGATTCTCTTTTCAGGGAAAGGCAGTACCAAATGCAACAATCATTTTAATTAGGATTTTTTAGAAGTTTTTAAAGAGGATTTTAATTGTTTTTTTTTATTATTTATTTTTAGCTTCATACCCCACAGCACAAGATATGGCACTGTTTTTTTGGCTGTCAAGACCTAACATTTCACAAAGAGAAACGTTAATAGAAGTTCCCATGAAGCATTACAGTTCTTATATTGTCATGTTTAGAATAATGCATAATCACAATTCCTAACAACAAACTATTACAGAATGATTCATGTTTACTAGGGAGTTAGACTTTTGAACCACAAAACAAAATTATGCAGTTTGAAGATATAATCACGAAACAAGAACACAGTAATCACTGAATCTAAAATGCAGCGTGAATCAAGTATACTCCAAGACTCCAATACAAAGAACAAAATCACAACAAGAATCCCTGTTATATGGCTGACCCAGAAATCTCCATGTTATATGAATAAAGTAATCTCATATAACAGAAACGTTACTGTGCATGCAAAGAATAGAATTGCAACGTTAATCCTTGTTGCTTTAGAGTAGGTGTAGCTAAACAGTTCCATTAAAATTGATAGTAACATTGCATAATGATAACAAGTGAAGCTAAGCTGTAAATTAAAGCAACAAATTCAGCTCACATGGTCAATATCCAGTTACTTTGACCGGGGAGCCTTGTCCTTGTAACAGTTCACAAACTTAAGCAAGAAACTTAAGGGATACAATGCTGTACACATTAAAGCCATTCTTGATCTAAACCTCTGAAGATTAAAACAAGAAGGGCAGAGCAATGAGGAATGATTCTCCTCTTCAAGCTGTATGAAAAAGGAACTGGCCTCTCAACAACATAGGAAGATCTCAAACCCATCTTGTTAGGTAAAAAATCCATGACAAAATTGGACAAGTGTGGAGTCATAAACTCAGGAGTTAGGACACTTCACAAAAGCAAGAAGAGTCTGCTCCTTAGGCTAGACCCATTCCATGCAAACATTAAATTTCCTTTCCAATGTTGATTTGCTCATCTATACCATGATTACAACAGCTAACAGAATGCATTCACTGGATTGAAACCCACCTTCTTTACTTCTTGAACAATGCCTCTGAACTTATCAAGATTTGTGGTGAAGACTCTAGCATAACAAATCCATTGATTCAGAATATTGGACTCAGGTTTGTACCAAAAAGAAGAATATTGGACTCAACTACACCAGGTTCTAGTACTAACAAGATATTGGGGGAAACCATGAGCTAAGATTTATGGAAAAAAAAGGATGACCGTTCAGTCATTCACCATTTAAAGTAGTAACCTATGGTAGTATGGTATGCCAGAGAAGACACAATGACTGAGTCTCAAAAATAAAATAATAATGGAAAATTGCACATTTCACTGATCAGCATCAAACGTCCAAAACGACTGTCAGCAAAAGAGAAATTGGTATTCATTTGAAAATATGCATACTGCTCAGACAAAATCTGTTTCAATTAACAGGCAACAAGATAAAGCAACGCAATTGAATCCATAAATTAAGAATTAGATTGACAGTACTAAACAAATGCCTCACATCATTGTCTCACTCATCCCTTACTTGTTTCTCCTAAAAGATCAATTGCTTAATGCTTGCATAACAAAAAAATCATATAGTGACAGATATCTAAATGATTCCAAGAGAATTAATAGAAGTAATGCAAAATGGAAAATAAGTGAGAATAAGCTGTCTTGAGAGGAAACAAATGTATCTTACTTGCTCAATTATAGTGCTTGATGTTCGGTCATTTTGACAGACTTAAATTTTCCTGATATAACTTCATCAACAGGGGAGCTTCTTCCTTATAACAAGTCACATACTTCTGTAGGAACTTGTCTTCAGTAATGGATACCACAGTGCTCATCTTAAAGCCATCCTTAATCAAACCTTTGGCCACCAATGCTTGAAGGACAGAACAACGGGGAATGATTCTCTTCTTCAAACTGTATGAGAGAAGAGTTGGTATCTCAGCAATGTAAGAAGGACTCAAACCCATCTTGTTGACTAAAAAATCCATTGCTGTAGTAATTTTGTACTCAGAATAAATCATGCAATAAGGAAACTTCTCAAAAGCATGAAGAGCCTGCTCCTCAGACCAGCCCCACTCCCTGTAAACATTGAATTTCCTTTCCAAGGTTCCTTTGCTCATTTGTAGCATAGCTGAAATAGCATCCAAGAAAGCGTACTTCCTGGGATCAAAACCCTTCTTTTTTAATTCTTGGACGACACTGCTAAACTTATCATGCTTCGCCTGGACGACTCTAGGCTGATTCATCAGTAGATTCACAATACCAGACTCAGCCACACCATGTTCTCGTAGTAACGAGATATTTGGAGGAGCTAAAGACTTAAAATCGCCACATAGAACGCCAGCATAACGCTTGAAAGCCAACAAAACCTTATCATCTCCAGAGCCGACCAAATTCTTGAAGAAGTTATAATTGGGGATAATGTGGGAAATCAAACCCCTTCGCAAGACATAAGGGTGTTTTGACAGGAGTGCTGCAAGTTCGGGCCTTGAAAGACCTTTTGAGTAAAAGAAGTTGAATTTGGGCAAAAGGGATTTCTCAGGATTGCACAAAAGTAAGTTCGGACATTTCCGGATGAAGCTTCGGATTTGGGTCTGCGAGAACCCATGATTGCTCAAAAAGCTAATGACTGAGTCTGAAGGCTTTTCGGTTTTCAATTGGAGTTTTTTGGATAGCAAAAGAGCAGATTGGGGAGAAAACCCACATGAATTTATGAGGTAGGAGACTGTAAATGAGTGTTTATCTGCTGCATTTCCTGAGACATATCTGATCGAAAATGGGGTTTGCAGCAGCAGGTGGATTTGAAGAAATCTGAGGCCTTTTGAGGCTGCTAAACTACCTCTTAACAAAATTAGGGTTTTGCAGAAATAATAACCCATGATTTAATTTTACCAACCCCAATCATGAAGAAAAAAATTTTGAAGAACACCCCTTGAACTTGAAGAACATTGGATCTCAAAGCATTTTGATACCGACGAAAGCTTCGCCCAATTGTGATGAGTCTGACGTGGTCCTTAAACTTTTAAAAAATAGTCGTTTTTGTCAATAAGCTTTTACTTTTTATCGTTTTAGTTCTCTTTCGTTGTAAAAAATTATTGTTCTGTTAATGGAAGAGGTGACACTTTCCTCTGCTAAAATGGATTTAATGAAAGATTCAGGGGGTCTAAGCTTGGGTCCCTCCTTTCCAACTGCGATGGTTAAGGTAACAAAGAACTCTCATAAAATTTAATAATTAGTAAGTTTGTTATTTTATAATCTAAATAATAAAATATAAATTATTAAAAGAAGAAATAATTCTTAATATCAAAGGGTTTATTTTCATTTAATTATTTAAATTGTACAATTTAATATAATTCAAACTACATAACTTATATATTTTTAATTAACTATGTATAGAATGGAAATATGAATTTCTGTTAAGTATATATATTAAAGATCCACGCAGAAATGAAATGGCGATGATTCTCATTAGCTGCATTTCTACCATTGCTGACTGATTTTCTGGAAGGTGAAACTAAGCCATATAAAACATGGGATTTTGTTCTTCATTATGGAATGCCTTTAGGGGTTGAGAAGAGAGAACTTTGAAAAGAGACCAATGCAGCACATATAGTATGAGCCCAAATACAGTGCTTGCTTGTGGTTACTTTGAAGGACAGCATTTTCATAATATATCTTCAATAAATAACCAGCTTCTTGGCAATTTCAGAAGACTTCCAACGGACATGGTTGATCAAGAGACTTTACTAAAACGAAGAATGTGAAGTTTCTTATTTATCATGAAAACTTTGTTGCATTTAGCTATCATAGACACAAATTTCAAACATTAATCCTGAGATCAAGACAATATGGAGTAAGTCCTAAAAGCAAAATATATGCCTTAACAAATCGCATATATCTTCTCTATTCAGCATCAAGCATCTAAAATCACTTTCAACTAAGGAGAAATCACTATGAGTTTAAATTGGCGGACAGAGCAAAAAAAAATCCGGTAAATATATCATTCAATCAAATTAAAAGCAGAACAGGCTGAACAGCATAGAGGAAACAAATGTAACTGGTTCACATTGCTCAAATACATTGCTTAACATCCTGTCATTTTGAGAGGTTTAATTTCTTCCCTGATATAACTTCATCAACAGGGGAGCTTTTTTCTCCACAGGTCACAAACTTCTGCAAGAATTTATCCTCAGAAATGGTTATCAAGCTGTTTGCACTAAAGCCATCCTTGGTTAAACATTTGGAGATCAAAATTTAGAGGATAGAACAAGGAGGAATGATTCTCCTCCTCAAGCTGTATGAAAGAAAATTTGGCCTGAGAGCAAGATAAGAAACTCAAACTCTTCTTGATTGACCAAAATGGAAAGAGATGGAGTCATGAACTTAGGATACTTCACAAACGCAATGAGTCTGCTTCTTAGACAGCCTCGTTTCCTGTACGCATTAAATTTCCTTTCCAAGGTTGAGTCATGAACTTAGGATACCTCACAAAAGCAACAAGAGTCTGCTTCTTAGACCAGCCTCATTTCCTGTATGCATTAAATTTGCTTTCCAAGGTTGATTTGCTCATTTGTACCATGGTTGCACAGCTAACAAAATAGTGATTGGACTGAAACTCTTTTTTCTTTTAACTCTTGAACAACACTTCTGAACATATTATCAAGTTTTGTGGCAAAGACTCTATGATAACAAATCCACTGATTCAGAATATTGGAATTAGGTGTACCAGGTTCTTGTAGTAACAAGATATTGGAGGAAACCAATAGCTAAGATTTATGAAAATAAAAAGGAGGAAGCAGATGCCCATTCACCAGTTAAAGTGGTAACCAGTGATATAGTTTTTTTTTTTTTGAGAGGGAACCACTGGTATGGTATGTCAGAGAAAAACATAATAACTGAGGCTCAAAAGTAAAATAATCATGAAAAATGGCACATGCCACCAATCAGCATCAAGCATCTAAAAGCACTGTCGGCAATGGAGAAATTGGTATACATGGAAAAATGCATACTGCTCAATCAGCAGGCAACAAGATAGCAACATGATTGGATTCATAATTTACTTAGATTGATAATACTCTGTAGCCGACAAATGTCTCACTCACGTTAGTATCAAACTTGGGCTCTAAATGGTTCTCCTAAAAGATCAATTTCTCAATGCTTGCATAATGAACTAAATCACATAGTGACAGAGAATATGATTCCATGAGAATTAATGGTAGTAATGCAAAAAGGAATAAGTGAGACTAAGCTGTCATGTGAGGAAACAATTGTACCTTTCACATTGCTCAACTATAATGCTTGATATCCAGTTATTTTAATGGACTTAATTTTTCTTAATATAACTTCATCAACTGGGGAGATTCATCCTTATAACAAGTCACATACTTCTGTAAGAACTTATCTTCAGTAATGGATGCCACACTGAACACACTAAAGCCATCCTTGACCAAAACTTTGGACAACAGTACTTGAAGGACGGAACAACGAGGAGTGATTCTCTTCTTCAAGCTGTATGTAAGAAGAGCTGGCCTCTCAGCAATATAGGAAGAACTGAAACCCATCTTGTTGACTAAAAAGTCCATTATGGCAGTAATTTTGGACTCAGAAAAAATCATGCAATAGGGAAACTTCACGAAAATAAGAAGAGCCTGCTCGTTAGACCAGCCCCACTCCCTGTAAAGATTGAATTTCCTTACCAAGTTTCCCTTTCTCAATTGTAGCATAGCTGAAATGGCATTCAAGAAAGTGCTCTATCCTGGATCAAAACCCATCTTTTTAACCTCTTGTACAGCACTTCTGAACCTATCATGCTTTGCAGCGAACATTCTAGGCTGATTAATCAGTTGAATAAGAGTATTGAACTCAGGCACACCATCTTCTCTTAGTAATGAGATACTTGGAGAAGCTAAAGACTTACAATCCGAATAAAGAACACCGCGCTTGAAAGCCAACAAAACCTTATCATCGCCAGAGCCAACCAAATTCTTTAAAAAATTAAAATTGGGTATAATGTGGGAATTCAAACCCCGCCACAAAACATAGGGGTTTTTTTAACAAGAGTTCTGCAAGTTCAGAGCTTGAGAGACCTTTGGAGTAGAAGAAATTGAATTTGGGCAAAAGGGATTTCTCAGGATTGTAGTAAAGAAAATCTGGTTTTTTCTCTATGAATTTTCTGACCTGGATTTGCGAGAAACCGTGCTCCACCAAGAAGTTGATCACCAAGTCTGGGGCTTTTTGGCTTTTAAACTGCACTCTCTTGGAAATGGAAAGAGGGATTCAGGAGAAAACCCACATGAATTTATGAGGTAGGAGACTGTAAAAGAGTGTTTATCAGCTGCTTCTGCAGGCAGAGATTAATCTGATTGAAAACGGGGTGTGCAGGTGGGTTTGAAGAAATGAGAGACCTTTTGAGCATGATGCTAAAGTACCTCCCACCAAAATTAGAATTTTGCAGATACAATAACCCATTAATCAGAAGCTAAAATTTCACCAAAAATGACAATAATTAAGCTGAAACGAGAATGTAAGAACTAGGAGGTAGAACACACTTTAAACATTTGGTCGATTTTGAGTCCTTTCACATGATTTCTTCCTGAGCGCTTCAGCGTCACTGTTTCAAAGAACAAGCGCTAAGGTAAATAGAAAGAAGCCGAACAGCCCCTTAAATTTGAAAGCCCATGGTTCGAATAAGGAGCCATTTTCGGCCCAATAAGAGCGATTTAAATTTGGGTCCTTGTAAGTCCAATTGCCATTCAGACCCAAGTTATTGGTTTCTCGATTGGGCCTTGGACCCCATTCTGGCTAGAAACTACAGTACTTTTTTGGGGTAAACAAACTACAGTACTTCAAACTAGTGAATCTTAAAAGCTTCTACAATGTTTTTTACATATATTTTTTAGGTAACATTTTATATAAAAATGTAAATTTATAATTATTAATTGTTTTTTATATAATTTTATTAATTTTAATTAATATTTTAAATAATAACACAGCCCAATACTACATTGACAAACAAATCCTTAAAATAATTTTTTTAATTTAGGTTTAGGCCATAGATAGTTGGCAGTAAATAAATTTTCAATGAAAATTTAATCTTTTGCACGTATAATTCATTAGATTAATTTTTAGTCCAAAAAACAATTACTATATGCAGAGTCTTCAACAAGTTTCTAGCTAACTTTGCCTACAATGTTTTTCTTATATAGAAATAAAATCCAAATATATAATTTAATTTATTTTTTAGACTATGTTAGAAATATATGCAGATATCTTTTTAAGAAAAAGTGTTTATCCACCGCACTTTTAAAAAATTTAAAGAAATTTTTTTAAAATTATATTATTTTAATAAAATTTTTAAAATAACATAAATTT